TTTTTCCTCTGCCGAGCGCTCGGGGCTTCGGGAAGGGCCGCTGGGTGCGGTTGCGATAGTGCGGGCGCGGCGTGATGTAACAGGCCGCCTGGGAGGGACCGAGAGCAGGAAGCGGCGGAGGGTGTGCCTGCGGGGCAAGGTCGGCGGCGTGGGGTGGCCGCCGCGAAGTTGCGCCCGCGGCCGTCTTGCCGCTTGAGGCGCGGCTCGCGGCGAAGTCCCGCGGCGTGCCTTCTGAGCAGCGCTCGGGCCGGAAAGCGGAAGGAAGCAGCCCTCCGTTTCTATGAGGTGCGAAAGAGGGTTTCGCACAGGGCTGGCGCTTGGAAAGTCCCCGCGTGAAGTTTGAGAGTTCACGTAGTACAGTAGTTTATCGGTTCGGCAGTAAGTTGTCTATTGTTTGAGCACGCTCAGTCGGAAAGGAGGTATCTGGGGGGACATCCTTGCAGGATGCTTTTCTGAAGCCCCCCCCCGGGCAACAGAAGAGGAAGAGAGCCAAACCTTCTCCCCAGCTGTCTGCCGCACCTTCAAATAAAGGAAGTGTAAAACTGTGGCAAGGAAACGTTAGGAATAGAAAGTGGGTATCCTGCCTAAGAGCGGGTAGCAAAAGCAAAACCATACCGAGGCCTCTCATACTGCGGGGCTTCGTAGGCCAGTTTAGGGCTGTTCTGTTAAAATAATGTAAAAGAAAATCTGTATGCGCTCATGGGTTGCTCTGAAATGTGTTGCAAATCCATAAAATGTATCATAAGGTCTTGAACAGTTAGTTAAGATGAAGCCTAGCAGTGTTAATATTATATTCACCTGCTTCATATTGTACCTTTCTGTCATTTAAAATGGCTAAGAAGTACAAAATACTATATTAATGAATTAATTAGTTGACATAGTATATTTCCAAATGGAAAATATCAGTAATGTTATCACTATATTAAAACATCTCAAAACACTAAACTAAAAATATGGCCTGATGTTCTTCCCGAAAGAGTGGGAATACAATCCGAGGGTAAGTGTTCCAGTTTGGGAGTGAAGTAGAGAAGAAACATCTTACGTGCCTGTTAATCAGGGAACACTTTATGGATAAACTTTACCAAGACCAACTATCTCTGAAACTAATGATGTTGACATACTGTATATAATCTGTTCCTTGTCACGATCGTTACATGGAAGACCAAGAACAGGCATGGGCTGAGGAGTTTCCTTAGAACAGTTTTTTAAAATTTTGAATCATATATATCTGGATCAGTGTACATCAGAAAACATTACACTTAATCCTAGCCCAGTACCTCGGTCTTGTCTGGGTTTTCATTCAGCTTGTTCACCTTCCTCCATTGTATTTGATCAACAGCACTATTCTGAACATTTCATTCTTTCCCTTGTAGAACTTCAGTATTCAACGCATGTAACTGTTCAAGAATTTGCAGTCTTCAGTTTTCTGAAAATAAACTTTCCATATCTCAGCACATATTTAGAAGTTGTTTCCTCAGGGCTAAACTATTCTTGAAAATGTATGACCTGTGTTGTTAAGGTTGTTGATAAAGTTAATAGCACAGTCATTTCAGTTTCACCTTCTGCAATAAAAACCACTGTTTCCAGAAGAGAAAATCTATGGTTGCAATTATGTAAATGTGTTTTGGCATTTCTTCAGCAGTTCCAATCTTCAATATACTTCTAAAATTGGACTAAGTACTGGATTCATATAGTACTTAAAAACAGCCAGCCAACCAACCAACCAGAACTGAGTCAGAGCTCACCACAGGAAAGGAAAAAAACAATAAATTCTGGAATTTTTCCTATTTTTGAGTTGATTAAGGAACAGTTCAGTAAGCCAGGAAACTTATGCTTTTTTAGATATCATTTTACGCTAAGCACAGTTTCTGTCAAATATCATAGTTCAAACAATCATGAGAAGCTTAGTTCAAGTGACCTGGAGGTAACTTTGGCATTTTCCTTCCCTTTCCTTTTGTGCAAGAAAGAGCAAAAGCTTTTGTTTTCGCTTTTGAACTAAACATTATTCCGTACTATATTACATTCAAACTCTGCCAAATGTTGTAGGCAGAAATAAATTGTTAATTAAATGCCTGGTGTAGTGGATAAGAACTGCAGACTAGGACATTTCCTGGTTCAGATCTTTCTTCTGCCACTGAAGCTTGTTAGAGTGCATTTCAGATCATCTTTGAAAACATAGTCCATGAAGTATAGAGATCTGTGTTGGAATGTGCTTATCCCTAAAATATTGTTTACTTTCTTCACAAAGAATGCATGTATATTTATTTACTTTGTGACTAGAAAATCAGTAAGTTTTAAAGATAACTCTTCTTGGGAGTATTTGTTCAGTTTTCAACCATGAAATCAGTTAAATAATTATGTATTTCAACAGCTTGCGTATGCTTTCAACAACAGACATTTCCAAGAATTGCTGCACATTAGGAAAGTATCTTCTTAGTCTTAACCACTAGGACTAATGGGGTGGTGGTCTTGGATCTTGTTTATTTGCTGGTGGAAGGATGAGGTTAGAAAGATAAATTTTTGCCAACACTGGATCTGCTGTTGCTGGTGGGAAGAATCTGGGAGTAGTTGTGTGTTTGGAACAAATGTTTTAAATACTCTGTATTCAGAATGATTTAATTTGCTCTACCTATTACACTGTTTATGTTTAAAGAACAAGCAATTATTATTTGCCTTGTATTTTGGAAGCTTAATTTTCAGCCCTTGGAAATTTCAAACTCTATAGGATTCTTTTATTTTTCCCCTTACTAGAAGCAGTTTAGTAAGCTAAAACGAAGCAGTGACATTTATAACTGTTTTCTTACCTTTATTGCTCCAAGAATTAAATACACTTTCCTTTAGGAACTTGTTTTAAATTTGTATGAAATTGTATTTGAAATACTAAGTACCAAAATATTCCACCCCAACCCAAAGTACAGAAAAGATTGTCAGTGTGGTGCATTGTATCATGAGTTTGAAAAGTCTCTTCTCAGCCACACTTGTGGAATCCTGTAGATAAAGTATCGACTTCTTTGGAAAGTCAGAGAAATAAATGTTGCCTCAAGGTTGATCTTAACAGCTACATCACTAACTCAGATTCCAGCTCATTTGAATAGTCTTTGTCAAGTCACTGTTTCCTGGTCTTAGGCAAAAACACTTGCCTATGTTAGTTGAGGGTGATAAAGAAATGGTTGAAAAAAATGTTGCTGAATGTTTAGACTGAAAATTATATAAATATAAGTGCCAAAATAATATATTTTCTGGTAACAACTTCCCGAGTTGCCATAACCTAATATTTCTTTTGACATGGTGAAAGTCTCCAGTTTGTAGTTACTTTTGCCGCAAGGGATGGGAAACCTTGGAATATCCAGAATAGTTGTGGGATGTAATGTAACTAAAAATGTAAACTAGTGCATTTTTATACAAACAAGCAAAAATTAGGAAACCCTTCCACACTGGAATAAAAAGGTGTGTGTGTTGGTGTTGCTGGTAAAGCTTTTTTTTTTTTTTTACTTCTTTCTACTGAATCAGTAATTTGCATGCATACTGACAGATTTGGATAACTGCATTTTCAATTGAGGCCAAACTGGTGTCTAAAGTAAATAAATCCTGCATTAGCTTTTATAATTACAGAGGTATCCTTGGAAAAGAAAGGGAAATATTCCTGTGTTTGGTATGAATGGCCAAGTTGAGAGTTTTGTTTTCCAGTTAAGTAAGTTCCCAAAGTAAAGCTTTGTCATAATGCACTGAGATTTGCCAAGTACAGTATGTTTCTACAAGTCAGGTGTTAAGAACAGGAAATAAAAGCAAGCACCAATTCCTGTATACAGCAATTAAAGAGGCATGAATGTTTTTTGTGAATCTCTGCCTCCCTGTAAGAAAGCAGAGATACTGAATTCCACTAAATCAACCTGATGTACAAGAGTCATTCATTGCATCTTGCTGCTATTATGAATGATTGTTTGAATACTTAATTAAAAATGAATGAAACACAGTTCTGCAAATGCTTAAGCTTTGGACTCAATGGAGAAATGCAATAGTATCTTGTAAACCAATTCTTACTTACCAATCTATAAATGTGCAACTGTGTGTGTGTGTGTGTGTATGTGTGTGTGTTAGTGGAATTGGCCGGTACATTGATCAAGTGACGATATATGTTATGTTTAGTTTCTGTTTAAAACTTAATTACGAAAATACTCAAAGTCTATTTCCACTCTCAAATTTATAGATAAAAAGAACCCAAAATTAAAAAAAAAAAACAATTACAGTCAATGTAATAAACAAAAATGACTATTCTCAAATAAATAGAATATAGATTCCAACCTTCCATGTAGAAATGAAAAATATTTTTCTGGTGAAAAAACCCAAGAAATTAACGTATTCATATTAATTATACTAATCAAATTATTTATAATCCAATTACTCTAGAAGAGTTTTCCATAAACTTACTATTTTTCTATGTCAGTTTTATGAAGATATTTCTTTGCCTCTTTTGTTTACTAGATTAATGTATTTGCATTCAACAAACTGCTTGTTTAACCAAAGAAATGTGGAACAGTCTGGCAGCTTTGTCTGTCAGGAGATACAAAAGAAGTCTTTCTTTCTCTCTTGGAAAAAGGGATTTACTAATGCTTGGCAGTGTTGCATGCAACTGTAATTTTGTGTAAAGAAGAGCCTGATGATAGCTGTTTACAAACTCCCTGTCACTACATTTGTACTTTTTGACAGGAAGAAGCATGTGCTTCAATTTGGGGAAAAGAAAAACACCTTGACCTCAGATGGATAGTTGCACATGTGTTTGGACACCTTTGTTGGTTATACCTGGAGGAAAGCTTTAAAATGGAACACATGCACTGGAATTTGAATATGCTTTTAGATTTCATGTTGTCTACTCATTTCATAATTTCTATTTCTGCAAGCTCTTGTGTTTCTTTTTTCTGTCATAGCTTTAAGTGCATTGTCTCCATTTCCTTGTTCTGCCATCATGCATATTTATGAATTGATGTTTTTTATGCTTTTAAAATAATGTAATTGCTTTTTCTTCTGTTAATGAATCATAATTCATTTTTGTTAACAAAAACTTTAATGTAGGCTGTGCTCTGATTAATGCACCCATCCACTCTTTTGTTTGCAGGTCAATATGGAAACCCTCTAAATAAATATATAAGACATTATGAAGGACTGTCATATGATGTGGATTCATTACACCAAAAACACCAGCGTGCCAAAAGAGCAGTATCTCATGAAGACCAATTTTTGCGCTTAGATTTTCATGCTCATGGAAGGTAAATACCGTGTCAGTTTCCTCCACCACCATTAACTTTAGCTGAATATAGCTGAACAGTAACCATAACATCCACATTCTGTCAAAATGTAAAGTTAGGGTTCATTCTCCTGAACTCTGATATGGAGCAACAGTCCAATCTGAATCTTTTCGTTGGCTGTGAGGTAGGTATATTAGTAATCTATGTGGAACTGGGGAGTCATTGAATATTCCAGTCTGCAGTTTAAGACAAACTTTGTCTCTGCACACTTAAATCTATTTTGGGGTATTCTGTCCGTATTCAAGGTACAGATGTGAAACAATTATGTATTGGTGTATATTTAGAGGGACAAAAATATTCCCATCTGCTGAAGTTTTCCAGACTTTAAAAATGGCTGCATTCAAATATGATATGTTCTTGAGTTTATATCTGCATAAGGGGGCCAAGGACAAATATGTGCAGTGAATCTACCGTGCTTCCCTTTTCTCCCTACTGAAACTAGATAAGTTAGTGCAAATATTTATAGTTTATGCAAAATTAAGAAGAACAATCTTTTTAAAACATACATCAAAAACATGTATAAGCAGACTAATATAATTTGGTGTACATACTGGAGGCTAACTTGCTTGCTGTAATGTTACCTGTGCACAGCAGCCTGTGGTAACCCTTGTGCAAGTGCAATATGAGCCAGCACTGCTATTTGTTTCAGAACTATTCATTGCTGAAAAAACATGGCAAACATAGGTCAGCTCATCCAAAATGATCTTTATTTTTGCTCTACAGATGACTAATTCAGATTCTGCAGATGCATTTCAGTAGTTTCGTTTTAAGCAGTTCATAGTCCGAGACAAGCTCAGCAGGAACAGTGGCACATCTGGCAACCCAGAGGTTGCACCAGTCCGATGTTAGGCTTCCACAATTATGGTAGTTTGATGTTATGCCAATATTAAAGCACATTATTAATCATATTTTAACTCCTGGCTTCTTTGACTTTTTGTTTAGGTATCTTTGTGCTTAAATATACCTTGTTAGGAAAGAAAAGAAAGTGAACAGTAAAGTGTGAGAGGGCTGAAGGAATCTTCTTAACATGGAGGCAAAACAGTTTAAAACCCAGGGAGCTTGTACAACAACAAAATGCTTATGGCTAAAATAAATTAGGTAAAATAACCTGAGGTTTTCAGTTTCTTTTTATTTAACTCAAAAATGAACATTGGCTATTTTGGAGACTTAATATCCAAATCCATTGTAGGAAACCTTTTAAGCTAATTGTTTGTTCTGGTTGCCAATTCCTGGTTTTAGCTTATTGTGTTTTAGTCAGAGTTACCAAGAGAAATAGGTGCTGCTGTATAATAAAATGCATCTGCAAAGGAGTTTAATCCTGTATGTGGTTTTCTGTGAGAAATTAAAACAAAAATAGTCAATTCATGAACTGACTGATTAGTATTAGTATCAGTAGTATTTCTGATTTGCCCAAGGCATAGAGTTGGATAGTGGAAAACCTGTTTTAGAAAATACAGATAGGAAAAAAATAACTCTCCTGAAGGCAGTTACTTCATGCATCAGATATATTGCTGTTGTCTTACTCGAATCTATGATTTTTCTGTAGCATTTTCTGTCCTACTATATAGCTAACTGGGATTAAGCTAGGATATAGCTTGAAATGCTATATTTGTAATTTACAAAGCCTAGCTTCCATATTCAGATAACATATATTTTCCTGTAAATAGTTGAAATATGATTATACTTCAGGTAACCAAAAATCCTTGGTTGTAATTATGATGTGACACTTTGCATGGGGCTTCAGATTATGTTGGTCCCCTACAAATTTTAAGGCAAATGAAGGTGTGGGGTGAAAGCATAGATCTTGCCCTCTGCTTAGACATAAGCACATACCAAATAAAAGCACTAAGTACAAAAGGGGAAAGTGTTTAACAAGGTCGAAGATGTTCATTTCTACCTAACAGCCCATGTTATGAGGTGTTTTTGTAAATGCAATCTGTCTTTCTTCCCTTTGCAGACATTTTAATCTGAGACTGAAAAGAGATATGTCTCTCTTTAGTGATGACTTTAAGCTTGAGATGTCAGATAAAGTAATTGATTATGATACCTCCCATATTTATACTGGGCACATTTATGGTAAGTGCAGTAACGGTGGTTTCTGTCTTGAACTAGTAATAGCTCCTTGCTTAGGTCTTTCTTGCGGTGCAGAGTAGTAGGCCATTTTCTCAGTAATTGAAACAATTTTAGAAACTTCATTTTTGTCTTTAAAAAGTTGCCAGAAAGAGCATTTATACATTTCACATTCCTTTTTCCCTTTTGTTTTATCATAATTCTATCTTTCTGAAAAAAATGTCTGATTGAGTCTGTTCCATTTAACAGTATGATAGCTCAGAAGATCCTACATTTATGAGATGCTGCTGCACTCCTTGGACTGTTCCATTTCACACTAAAAGCTTTGCACCACACTCCATGTGGAAATGTGGCATATTGGAGCAGTGTATTTTTTCCCACGATAGACTCTTGCATGGGGAACATTCTGCAGCCTAAGAATTTGTGCTTCATGGTATTTTTGAATGTAGTACTAAACTATTAGTTCTCATAATGTCAGGATTGAAGAAAAGCTATTCTTGAATTAAGTTTTTTTCAGCACACTTGGTGGAAGTGAAAGCAAAATAAAAATGTTGCTTGTGACTTTTGCAGTGAAAATAATTCTACATGGGAAGTAAACTGAGTAAACCCTAAGATTTAAAGATGTGGGAAGTAAGATAACAGGGTCTAGACTGAAAAGTAATATAGCATAGGAATGGTTAAATAGATATTTTTATAACTTCAGGAATAATAAAATCATATTTAAAAATATACTATAAAGTAAGTGAAATTTAGCTGAATAAAAACAAGGTAGATGCTTAGAGTAATATACAGGTAGTCCTTGACTTATGACCGTTCATCTAGCAACCGTTCGAAGTTACAACAGCACTGGAAAAAAGTGACTTGCAACCAGTCCTCACACTTATGACCGTTGCAGCATCCCCGCGATTACGTGATCATGATTCAGGTGCTTGGCAACCATCACACATTTACGATGGTTGCAGTGTCCTGCAGTCGTGATGTCTTGCTTAAGGACCACTGTAATTCGCTTAATGACCACAGCAAAAAGGTCATAAAATCGTGCGGTCATGTGATGCCTCACTTAATGACTGCATTGGTTAATTAATTTTCCGGTCCCTATTGTGGTCATAAGTCGAGGACTACCTGTAGAAGGAAGAAAACTAAGCTGTAGGAGTGTTTAAAATGGGCAGAAAGAGAATGTGTAAAATGGATCGGGTGCAAATAGAAGGGAAGAGAGATTAGATAAAATCAGGCATGGTTAGTGGTAGGTGTGAAGAATAAGGAACATTTGAGGGTTGGTCATATAGGTGAAAGCAAAAAGAAGAATTAGATGCAACAGCTTACAGCAAATTCTGCAGCTGAACCAGAAGGCTTGACACATGGAGATGTGAAAAGCTTTGTGTAAAAATGGTAGATTTACTAATCTGTTCCAGAGAAAATTGTGTATTTACATAAAAGGAAGAACTTGAATCACTTTGTAGCACTAAGTTTAAGTATGAGAACACGGGACACAGAAAAGGACCAATTTCCAGTGTATTCCTTTGGTCTTCTGGGCAAGAATTATGTAATAAGAATTGTGAAGTACATCCCATCTAAAATGAATGAGATTTGCTCCTGTTTTTAAAATAATAGTAATTTGCATGATTACGGAAAGAAAACCAAGATACCACTACATAATGGTTGTTTTAGTTATCTTGCTAAGAAATTTAGGTATGTGAGTTGAAGATAACTATATGCCCAAGGAATATATCTACTTGAAGAAAAATGGTCCATGCTTGGATCCTATCCAAATCGTTACCCAAACCAACCAGTTGATGCAATAGTCTACTGTTGGTTCATTTAATGCCCTCTTCTTCAGCCGGAAGGGTTCTTAGAACGGCTTACACATCTATTAAAAAAAGACAGAGCGTCTGCCTTCAGTCTATGTTACTTGCTTAGATCCGTTAATGTCCATTCTGATTACATCTGTATGTTCAGGATGACTAAAAGATAACCTTTCATTTTTCCTTGGATGTTTTGGGCAGTTGCACTCTTGGCTTTGAACTTGGGCTGTGCATGCTTTGAAAATGATCTCCCATTAAAAGGCAGGGTGATTCCAGAGGTGCTGTACTTATGCAAGGGCTAAATCGCCTTGTGGAGATCATTTTCAAAGCGTGCACAGCCCTTGTATGTACCTGTGCAGAATTTACCTGGAAGCAGTTTGAACCACTATTGCCACGTGCAAGCCTTGAGTGGTGGAAAGAATATTTTTAAATGGCCAAGTAAACTTCTGCTTTTCTGAATTTAAAACATCCTTTATTTAGTTTGTGTGAAAGGGGTAGTGCACCTGACTCTCATGAACTTTGTAATGGGGTCTTATTTTTAAAGAAAAAAAAGCCAATAAATTACTTTGAGAAAAGGGAGTAGGAATTTAAAGCATAAAAGAACTAACTGAACCATGAATTGTTATTACTAGTATGTGAAATATTTACTGATACTGGTGATAACTAGAACTTGATAGAGGCATGTGCATGAATGCCACATTAGCTTCCTGATCACTTGCTGAGAAGTAATACTCAAATTCAGGAAAATTGGCCACCCTAACCATTATTTTCAGATTTCAAACTTGTATCTACTTCAGATTTTACAATCTAAAATAAATGTTATAGTAAGCTGGCTATTGAGCATTAATTTAAAGTATATGGTTCAAGAATCCTGGAGAAAATGAGTAGTGGTGCAGCTATTTCCTCTAGCGGCCAGAGCATTTTAATGGTGCTTTAATGGAGAAGGCAGGTAGACCAGGAGGCAAGAAGGCTTCAATTATTGGCAAGGTTAGCCGAGATTCCTAACTCTTGCTGGTAACTGATGCCTATGAATAACCCTATGTACTTTTTTAAACAGGTGAACAGGGAAGCTTTAGCCATGGATCTGTTGCTGGTGGAAGATTTGAAGGATTCGTCAAGACTCACACTGGAACCTTTTATATTGAGCCAGCAGAAAGATATATTAAGGACAAAACCCTGCCTTTTCATTCTGTCATGTACCATGAAGATGATATCAGTAGGTTTTCATTCTGTGCTGAAAATATGCCATATAGGATAGATATACAAAAGCTGTGAGTGAGTGAGGTTTTCAGAACAATAACTCTTAAATAGAATACCCTGATGCTCAGTAAGCATTTGCTCTTCCACTGCTGTAGAGGGACGCCTGTCCTGAGCATGGTGAGCCACTTTGTCGCTTGGAAAATTTTATAATCCTCACAGACCTGACTGTAGTGAGAAATGTTCTTTGAAGTGTTCACCCAAGTTCCTTAGCTTCATGTCATATTGTTCAAAGTATCCCCTGAAGTATTCAGCTAATATAAGCAACAAGCGCCTAAATGCACAAAGCTCTTAATATTATGTTAAGATGCGACCCTTCAGCAGTAATTGCTAATAGTATTATGTGCAATAAAATCAGGCTATCTGACATAGATTTGTTACTTCCTCATCCCTTCTATTTTTAAAAAGGGCCACCTTTTCCATTTGGAAGCATGTTGGTATCAGTAAATATTGAGAACAAACTCATCATGTTGTCAGCTGCCTATTTAAGTTAGGAAGCCCTGTATTCAGAGCAGCCTCTAGTATTGGGACTGTATTGTAGGAAAATCATGATCTGTAGATCACATTGTCTATATAAAGGACTGGCCTTCTAATCTGCATCCATTTTCTATCTGTTACCTCTGGGATCCCTGCATTTTACCTTTGGTATGCTTCAGATTTGTATTCAGTCACAGATTTCCTCACAAATTACATTTCCTGATTCCCTCAGACAACTTGACTACTTTTGTTTCTCTCACAGAAACTAGAATGTCTCATCAAATTTGAAAATCGAAAGATTCATGAGCCAACCAAAGCGTTGAGCTAATCATGGAACTTTTGTTAGAAAGCACAAGCTGTGTAATGCGATAGGGATTCTAATATTGTTTTGTTATTGTTTTGACAGAAAAAGAGCCAAAGGATTATTTTAAGTCAGCCCAGTTTAGGGGATCTAAACAGCTTACTGCTAGTAGTTCAGGTCACTCAAGTTGGAAAATACTGGATAGATCTTTAACAAATATGTCAAAAGTCTCACTAGCTTTTCACAAAGAGACCCCCATGCCCCTGATTCAGTGTGTAGTTTACAGTGCCAAACATTTTGTAATGTTCCTATTTGTAGAATAAGAAGTACTTAGAGGAATTTTGAGAACATTGTACATGAAGCTAACAAGGTTACAGTCAGTTCAGGCAAACGCTTTGGATAAAGAAATCTATATTGTTAATGAGCCCTTCCTTTGCCCATATTTTAGGTTTTGCAAAAATATTCTGTTAGTGCTTTTTGGACATAACAATGGGGCATATGTTCAGCATGACAATGAAGTCTTATTCAGAGCTGAAACAAAAGCCATTTCTACAAATGAGGATTATATTGTCTGTTTCCTACAAAGTCCTTTGTTCACGTTGCTCTCTCTCAAATTAATGACCAGATAAAGACAACCCTTTAAATTCTGATTTAAGATATAGGCAAATTATTTAAAATTCTCACTCTCAATCTGTATTCATACTCTAATGGGATAGCATTAATTATTGAAAACAATGGTTTTGCCAGGAGGGAGAGAGTTACAATTCTTTCCATTTTGGTTGAGACAAATTGCCTTGGTTGGGCATTACTTGGGCCTTGCCATAAGACATTGCAGAAGAGGTTGGAAATTGAGAGCAGCAGCTGTATGAAAATCCTGGAAGCAGTTCTGGACATGACATGCAGCATGTTCTTGCTACTGATGTTGAACTGCGATGGAAAATAGTAACGCTTACTGGCCTTTTCATTATTCTCAGAATAACCTGTCTCTTTGGTTGTATTTGCTTGGATCAGAAGGATAAAGTTGCAGTAAACCTAAAATGGAAAGGGGAAGGATATACTGTAGAAGCTGATCCAGATCAGCAGACAAAGATCCACAGGTTGAAGTGAAAAAAGACCAGTCATGTAAATTGACAGATGCAAAGAACCCCACAGTTTGCTCATGTTACACTGCTGCTGTGTGAGCTGCACTGGCTTCCAGTTTCTTCTAGGTGCGATTCAAGGTGCTGGTTATCACCCTAAATGGCACAGGGCCAGGTTATCTGTGGGACCACCTCTTCCTGAGGATATCCGCCCATTCCACCAGGTCAGATAAGGTGGGCATGCTCCAGGTGCCTTCCCTTAAATGTTCCCATCTAGTGGGACCTAGATAGCACGCCTTCTCAGTAGCAGTCCCTGACATCTAGCAGGCCCCTGCCATCCTAGCCTTCTGGAAAGCCTTGAAGACCTGGCTTTTCCCACAACCATTGAGGTATAGTGAGGCTGGACCCCAGTAAAGTTGATTGTTGATGGGTGTGGGTGCCAGGAGTTTTTGTGATGGTTTTATATTTTTTACTGCTTTTATTGTTGTTTGTAAGCTGCCCAGCATTGTGCATAACATGGTGGCTGTGTAAGTCTTTTAAAGAAATAAATGGATCATGCAATATGTGCAAGATATTGCTGTAAAGAAAAGGTATTAATTGTCTAAAGTGGATAGTTCTGTGTCAAAGGACCCACTATTGAAAACAACTAGGAATAATCCAGTGATTCAAGATTGTACCCAGGTTGGTTCTTATTATGATGCATTGGCTTAAAAGGGAAGTTTCATTTATCTGCTGTTTTATTAAACTATGCAGATTAGAATTGGCTTGTTCTTGTACTGAAACTCTTTTTAGCCAGCAAGGAGTCAACAATGAATCATTGCCAGGGCAAATCTTATCACTTGCTTGAAGATTGCTTGGATCCTGACTTATGTTTTTAGAATGCATTGGCTTTGGATGACTGATAATAATACTGCAATGCAAATATCCATAAAAACAGCATTAAAAAGCATGACTGATTTGAACAGCAGACTAAAGCCGTAGCATTAGAAAGCCTTAGTAAATATGTTTTGAGCACTATACTAAACAGTAAAAGGTGGAAGATTGCTTTACTCTCGATGGCAGATTGTTCCACAGTGCGCAAACCACATGTAGAACTGAGCCTGAAAAGGAGATATGGCAATCATGGGGGACTGCAGGTGCTTGGGTTTTGTGCCAAATTTACCTTTAATAGAAAAACAAAGCATCTGGGGCACCTCCTATTAGCATCTCTGTAATACGTTTATGCAAACCGAATCTCTTTAATGCCTCACCCTCCAGAGAGAGAGAGAGAGAGAGAATTATCCACAGCTTGAATTCAGCTTCCTTAAAATTGTTACTGATACTAGATATTCCTTAACTTCTTTGCCCTTTTCCACTGTTTTGACATTACTAATTTTAAAACAGATCATGTTTGTTTTTCCACTATTGTTAAAACAAACATGATTTGTTTTAAAATTAGTAGTTGAGTATCTTAATTTAAAACCATTTGTAGGGGAAAATATGTGCCAACAAGTCTCTTGGTTTCTGTTTTAGAATATCCACATAAGTATGGACCGCAAGGTGGTTGTGCAGATCATTCTGTCTTTGAAAGAATGAAGAAATACCAAATGACTGGCACTGAAGAGCCAAGACACCAGGTATCAAATATTAAATGAATGATTTGATAAAATACCTGTTATCTTTCATGTGTATCTGCTCTTGATCTGATCACAGACATGGATAAGCTATATTCTGCTATTGACATGACATGACAAAGACAAGCTACTGACTTACCTAATTTTGAACTGATATGTCATTAGCACACAATGTTTCTTAAAGTCTTCTCAGTTTGAATTTGCCATATGTTCTGAGAGAGGTTTGGATTTTTTGCAAATATCTACTATGCAAAACTGGTTGAACTTTTCTTTGAGTGTAACAATGTAGTGAACTTTATATTTTTTTCCTAAAAGTCATGAAAACTATATATAGCTACAAACGTGAAACCCATAGGTTGAGTTGGTTTATTAGGTTTTTAAAATTTCTGTTAAAATTAATGGCAGGTTTTAAGAACATTTCAAGTACCTGACAGCAGCAAGCCTAAAAACCTGGCTAACAATTTCCTCAGGCTGCAGAAGTGTGACCTTCTTTATTCAAACATTATTCATGCATTCAGCTGGCTCATGAGCTATTTTATTTCCTTTTAGTCCTTGGATAAGCTTTGTGTGAGCCAAATTAATTGGAGACAAATGTTCTTCAAAGCCAAGTTACTCTACCAGCACATATAATAGCAGAAATTTGGCTGGCTGCAAGCAGCTGTAATTGTGAATGGGACAGACCTGTATCAGGCAGGTTAAAGATGAAGAGAGGTACTACTATAGGCTGGAGAATAGTGGTCCTGAAATTGGCATGTTCTTATAGGTTGCTCCAGAAAATGATGAGCTCTGTACCCTTGTTTTAGTCCTCTTATTCTCACATACAACCTGGACTCTGAATTTTTTTGAAATGGAAGGCTATATAAATATCTTGTGTCTAAATATAATTAAGTTCCTTGGCTCCTTATGCTTTACCAGCCTTCTGAAGAACATAGCAGACAGGACCCTGAGCTCTTGCGGAAAAAACGAGCTGCGCAAGCTGAGAAGAACACTTGCCAACTCTATATTCAGACCGATCATCTCTTCTTTAGGTATTACGGAACCCGAGAAGCTGTGATTGCACAGGTAAGCCTTGGGTGGTTGCTGCAGAGGGTCGGTCTCTTTTTCAAAATAAAGGACAGGAGAGTGAGAGAGCTTTCATATGCCATGTTACAATACTGCGTGAATGATGGTGTGATTGTTCCAGGGCGTTTAAAAGTATACTACTACAGGTATCTTTTTTTTTCAGCAAATTATGTGTACAAGTGTGATAACTGCAGAATCTGTATTACTTCATGGAAGTGCACTATGGCATCTTTAGAAGAAAGATAAGAAAAAAAATTGAACGTGCAGTAAAATTAATAAGATAATATTGTTGACGCTCAGAGGAAGAGGACATGCTTTGCATGTGAACGGGTCTGGGTTATGTCTGTGGCCCTGGCGAATGGGGCTGAGAAGGATTCCTGTCTGAATCTCTGAAGAGTTTCTGTCTGCCATTTTCAGAATTTGCATCTTGTGCATAGCTGTAGTTGGACACAATAATGCATAGGGACCTAGAAGAACATGGGCAAGCACTGAGATTGTATGCTCCCTTCTGCCCTGCATCCTAGGAGGAGAAATATGTGAGAGTTTAGTTTCACTTTAGATGTTTCCTGGTTTCTTCCAGGGCAACCAGGAATCATTGTTTAAAATAACTTTTGATTTGTAAATCAAGCCCCAGGTTCGTCTTGCTTGTTTTGACAATTAACTATAATCTCAGGACTTTACTGAAGTGAAACTGAAATCTGGCTTATCTCTTTGTGCAGGAGGAGAGGGCTTGAGCCAAAGGCTGTGCGTGGGTTTCTTTCTGCTTGAGGGCAAGCACTAGAGTATGGCGCAGAGTTACATGCCAATTCTGACAAGCTAGAATTAGGGGAACTAATCTTGCAGGTTTCAGAGGGAACTGTATCCACAGCCACAATTTTCAACTTCCCCTTTCCTTTAGATTTCCAGCCATGTTAAAGCGATTGACACAATTTACCAGTCTACAGATTTCTCAGGAATCCGAAATATCAGTTTTATGGTGAAACGAATCAGAGTAAGTATACAGAAACTTCATTGTGGAAGTCTTTATTCTTTATGCTGATTTAGTTGTATTTTTCTCTTTTTATTGCACAATACTTATGGCAAAACAGTAGTTGCTGGTAGAGGACTGGATTTCTTCTTCCACTGACAAGCCCTAATAGCTAGTAACTTTTAATTTATTTATATGACTGCTCTGCTTTTTCTAGTGCATTTATGTTGCTGTCTTTTTCTTGCAAATGTGGCTTTTTGACTTGACAGTTTGCATAGGCAAAGCTGAAGGATGTCTCTACTGCCCTGTTAGTTCCATATTTTGATTTCTAGAGGGTGGATCAACTCAGGTGTTTATCTTTCACTGTTTCGTGGCAATAACCTTGGGCCATAACTTGTACGTAATAGAATTTCAATGCCCATCAAAAACACTGCAGAGTTCTTACCTCATCTCTGTGCTTTATGGTGGGTAATGTTCACACCATTCTTCTGTGAGTCATCACTTGTGAAAACAAGTAGGTGTGGATTTTTTTTTACTTTGTCAGAAAGCGATGTCTAACAGCATACAATATTTTTCTTTCAGATCAACACTACCCAAGATGAAAAAGACCCTTCTAATCCCTTCAGATTTCCGAACATCGGCGTAGAGAAATTTCTGGAACTTAATTCTGAGCAGAATCATGATGATTATTGTTTGGCCTACGTGTTTACTGATCGTGATTTTGATGATGGTGTCCTTGGCTTGGCCTGGGTTGGAGCACCTTCGGGTAAATAATCTTTAAATATATTGGACAGAAGGGAAGTACAGAGCACCACCTCTTGCATAGAAGAGATTAAATTCATTGAGCTAAAAAGACATTTGATTGCATGTCTGGAGGGCTGCTGCCAAACAGAGTCCTGGATGAAACACATCCAAGGTCTGGCTTTATATGATAGGCTCACTAATGTAGTTGGTTTATTTCTGCTCCAGATAAAGGGGCAACCCTCTGCCCAGTGTACAGAAGCAAACCCCTGTTTGAGGGGATATTGTCTTTCCCTTCTCATGCACCTTACTCTTCCAAAATCATTTGGCGAGCAGGAGATTTATTGGTTATACGCTCCTGTGGAGCTATGACTAAAGCCTGATGTTTGGAGAAGATGGTTTCATCTAGAGGTGGGAGGGAGGGAGGGACAGATGAATATAACTGCTCAGTTTCCTACTTAAAATGTATGAGGTAATCTTTCCTTTGAGTTGGATGTATAAAACTACTTTTTATAAAAAATAGTCGCCTGATTATCAGTTCTCTTTATGAATTAATTTAAGCTGAGCTCTAAGGACTTTCCCCCCCACATTAGAAGAGCAACAATAGTAAGGTGCACGTGTGTGTTTTAACAAGAACCTTGTTACCACAAGCCCTTGAGCCAAAGGACATCTTGCACAGTTTCTTGCGCTTGATCAAGTGTACCGTACAGAAAGTCTTCGTTTCTTTATTGGAGATGCTGTCAAATAGAAGTTGAATCCCTTCAGCTGTGGGAGTCAGTAGTCCTTGCAGCAGATGCTCAGTGTTCTTTCATGCAGAGCCACATGGCTGAATCTGGTTAGAGTAGGCATGGTCAAAAGGCTTATACAAAATCCAGCTATTTGGGTACTTCGGTTGTTGGTGTTGGGGCTGGCCTTGCAGCAGATGTGGCTGGGCAGTAGAGTAGACCTAGGGGTGAGAAGGCCTACAGCTCAGTGGCACAGCATGTCCCTTCAGTGCTCGTGCTCCAGCATCTTAGGCATGGCCAGGAAAGACTCATCAAAAATCCTGCACAGGCTGTGAAAGGTGATGACTTCAATGCAGGTCAGCCTATGTTCTCCTCTGTTTTGAAATTTACTCCCATGCTGTTGGAGAAGTTTGCCTGAAATAGGTTGAATCTCCTATTGCTAACCATCATCTCTGGCTGCATAATTATTTTACTTTCAGAAACTTGAGAAATCCTAACTTTTATCTTTAAAAAGATATTTCAAGACTGCTCCAGTTCTTTTGACATCAGATGCATTATTTACAGATACCACATTCTGAGATGTTCAGTCTGTTCTTTTTTTTTTTTTTTTTAAGATAGTGTTTTATACCTTTCAGTTTTTCCTAGGCACTTCAGGGAAACTCTTGTTTGCAGCTTATAGATCCTATCCAGATACAGTAAGATCCTAGAAAGTTGAGCGGAAGCTCTTGAAGGCTTTCAGATCTGTGTTTCTTTGACTGTAGTTCTTCCAAGAGTCATAGTTCAAATACTCAAATAGCACACTTTGTTGTTGCAAAGTACCTAGCCCAAGAATATCTGCTTATCTCAGCAAGCAGAGTGAATCATTCTTATGGGCATATTTACAGACAAATTGTGCTTTGAGAAGTTTCAGTTGAAACCACAGAGACTAAAAAATCTAACCACAGAGACTAAAAATAAAGAATCCATGGTAGCAGTACTACACAACACACCCGACCTAGCCAAATAGGTCGGAGCCAAGATTGAAGTACCCAGAATCATGGGCCTCATCAACCTCTGCCTCACTACCAACTTTCAGTTTGATGGACAAATATACCAACAAATCAGAGGAACAAGGGGCTTAAATTATAAGGAAGCAGATTTTGGTTGGGCACAAGAAAAAAAAGTCCCAAGTGTAAGGGCTGTTCATAACAGGACAGCGTGCCTTGGGAGAGGATATAGCCTCCTTCGCTGGAGGTGGTTCAGTGACGGCTGGGTGGCCTTTGGTTGGGGTGCTGCAGATACTTCAGGGGTTTCTGCAACAATCTCCAAGGCCCCTCCCAACTTTTGGCTTCTACGAAGGCCAAGCAAATCATGTGATGGTGCGTTACAGACTGCGGAAGCTGTTTTCTCTGAAGTGAGAGCCAGTGATTTTCCCTTCACCGTCCCAGATCAGCTCGGAGACCTCTCATGATTTCTGACTGGCTCACAGAATGAACATTCGGATTAAACTGATACATTTGAAGAATATCTTGGTAATAAAATGAATTGTTTAGATTAAAAGTGCTGCTTTAACTTTTGCTTAATAAGGAAGGTTTTTTTTTTCATTTTCTAATTAGTTTTGCTAAAGGTTGCTGTTTGATCTTAATTACAGGGAGCTCTGGTGGAATCTGCGAGAAAAGCAAGCTTTATTCTGATGGGAAAAAGAAGTCCTTAAATACTGGCATAATCACTGTGCAAAACTATGGTTCCCATGTCCCGCCTAAGGTCTCTCATATCACCTTTGCGCATGAAGTGGGGCATAATTTTGGTTCTCCTGTAAGTATATGTGTTCCAGCTCTCTCCCACACCAGTCCAGCTTTTACAGCAGATTCAGGAACCCTTAACAGTTGTGACCAAACCATCTCCTCTGCACACACAATTGACCACTTGTGCTCACTGCATGCTGAAACAACCCGATGAACTGGGCCAGCTAACCAGCCCTAAGGGGTATCCTTTTGCAGCAAAATGCACCTGACCTGATCTGGAAATGCATTGCTTGCAGCCTGCCAGACAGATGTTCAGAAGGATTGAGCAGTACAAAAACTCACCCAGTACAAATTGTGAAATTTCCAAGACAGCAGAAATTGGAGTGAATTTATGTAGCCCTTTATGTAATGTGCAAGCAAAGGGAGGGTTATTTCTGAAGAGCTGTAGTACCCTTTGGAGACAATGTTTCTGGGTCTAATCTCTGCCTTTTGATAGTGTTGAAATATAATGATGAAAACATGTGCCAGGGTGTCAGCAAAACAGTCCCTGTACTCACTTGCATGAGAATTGCACACCTCATTTGGACTCAGCAAAGCTGGTTGTTTTGCCTTAGTTGTGAGCTTCACATCTGATTGCTCAGAGCCCTTTCTGTTTTTATCTGCTTCTGAAATGATTTGTTGCAGTTAAATACAAATCTGACTTCAGTTGTTATACAGTCTCTTCCAATCATGTAAGTGAGGCCAGACTCTTACAGGATTGTTAACAAATAAACCAGGATAATAAAAATAATAATTTTGGTGCACTGAATTAAACAAAAATAACAGAGTCATTATCAGTGGCTATTTGGGTAATGCATTATGAAGAAGTTTGGAGTTAATTATAGGGGAGCTATTCACCTATTTGCCACTCTGCCTTTTTCCTGGGAGACTTTAACTGTCTCCTCACCTGAGCACTGCTGCTGCTTCAAGGAGCAGAAGATAACAGTGCTTCTGGTGAAGAAAGCTGATGATTTTTGTCTCTTGCAGCATGATTCTGGGACAGAATGCACTCCTGGAGAGTCCAAAAACTTGGGGCAAAAAGAAAATGGCAATTACATAATGTATGCACGGGCAACATCTGGTGACAAACTGAACAACAACAAATTCTCTATCTGTAGTATTCGGAATATCAGTCAAGTGCTTGAAAAAAAGAGGAATAATTGTTTTGTTGGTATGTATTTCTTCTAAATAATGTGATTTGTTTACTTTGCCTGTGGGATGGCTGCGAGAAGAGAAAATTGAGGGAACACCATTGGGGTCAGCTTGAGATTCTGTAGCTTTTCATCTTCTAACAGTTTATTTGGCCTCTGCTCCTCCCATGAGATGCAGATGAAGGTGAAAGAAGGCAAGTCAGCCATCACATTCAGGCCTTGTTTGAACCCCTTTGGAAACGAGAGCTGGGCGTGATGCCCTGTGTCCAGAGGGGTTGGGGCCATCCCTGGTCCTTTGGTGAGATGCCTTTTCTGGAAGGCATTTCACAAGGGGTCCCAGAGATATGGAATCAGCTGTCTTTAGGCAGTTGGAGCTGCTGGGAATCTTGCAGCATTTATTTGACATCTGTTACATTTATATCCTACTTTTTCTCTGAGGAGCTCAAGTCAGTGAGGGTGGAGTCACTTCTTATTGGTGTTGTTAATCCCACAATAACAGCCTTACGAGAAGGGTGGTCTAAGAGGTAGCGACTGGCCTGAACTCTCCCCGTGAGTTTTGTGGGTCTGTGGGCCTCCTTGTTCTCCTGGGAGTCAATATCTCTGGCAGCTTTCATGTCAGTGAGTTAGGCTGTTCTCTTAGAGTACATCTGAAACAGCCACATGAAGACTGATACAGGGCAACCCGGTGCCTTTCCCAAGCTGGTGCGAGGAGGTGATGGGCGTTCTGTGGGAGCCCTGTCATACCAGGCTGCTTTAACTTGTTGAGCTGGGGTCAGCTGCAGAGGGCTTCTCCTTCACTTCCAGAGGCAGGATTTCACTCTTAGTTAGATTGCTGCTTCCCAGGTGCAGCCTATGATCTGTGTGGGTGTCTTGCTGTCATGCACTCTCACGGGCACAGTCTTCAAATGCAGCAGATGCCCATCTGAACAGCAAAATGTTTGGCTAATCGTAAGCCAGCAAAGTTGATGCCAAAGAGCTGTGTGGCACAGCTTTGCAGCCTCAAGTGAAGCAAGTTCCTCTCCCACTGGCCTTTCAAAAAGTGCCATAGTTGCAGGCTTAGGGCTGTGATCAAGGTCTGGTAGCATAGGAAATGTTCTGAGTATAGTTCTGATCATGTAATGGAAAGCACTGATTTGTTTAAATACCATGGAAGTTGTCCTTCCTTCCTTCCTGTTTCAAGACAATATCCCTGCTTCTAGCAAGAAATGCACAAAAACCATCCTCTTCGTTAATAACTGCTTAGGCAAGTTCAGGTTTTTTGTGTTTTATATATATGATGAAACATGTTGCTATATAGCCCTTGAATGGTAGCCAAGGCCACATCCATAACTTCCTTCTTTTCCGGGATGAACACTGGAGAAAGGAATGTGCCAGAGGTTTGCAACGCAGATCTCTGGCTGGACTGAGAAAGAGCGGATTCACTGTACAGCGTCTGCTTAATAGAACTGGGATGTGTGTTCTTAAAAGGAGGTATCCCCGTGTCCTGAATGTCTCTCCCAACTTCTTGTGACACCGGTTCGCATTCAGAAGACCTTACTGTTTTTTAGAATCTGGCCAGCCCATCTGTGGAAACGGACTGGTGGAGCAAGGCGAGCAGTGTGACTGTGGCTACAGCGACCAGTGCAAAGACGACTGTTGCTATGATGCCAACCAGCCAGAGGACAAGAAGTGCAAACTGAGACCCGGCAGGAGTTGCAGGTTCAGAGGCTTTGGGACTGATACCTTTCTGGGCTTGAGTGTTGAGCAAGCAGGGAAGGGCTGCTACCTTGGGCTTAGCATGCGCTCTGCCTAGAGGGGGAGAGAGCCATTTCCCAGTTTACAAGTGCGCATCTTTTCCTCATGAAAATTGGCAACTGTACTCGGTGCCATGCATCAAATTTTAGTGGCAGGCAAAGTGAGAAGAAGAGAGCCAGCTTCTCATCCATAGCCCTGAGGCTGTGAAATAAATTTCCTTTCTATTAGCCTTCCAGAGCAAATCTGGCTTTGGATACACCTGGCTGGATTGCATGCAACTGACACTGCATATTTCTGTTTTGTTGCTGGTTGATTGAAATTGTTTTATTGATTGCTGTCTTCACAATTGGAAGGATACCTTATTTAAGTAAGGACAGTGCTAAAAATAATAACAAAGGCTAAAACTGATGGAGGGAGAAGCACTCACACACACACGCATGCTACTCTTTTTAAGTCCAGCTAAAAGCACCCAAGCTTTTGGATTGTGGGCAGAATAAGGTGAGCATAGATTCTCCCTGCACTGTTTTCTGAGGAAAATCAGGCACTTGATCTATTGGGTGACAGTGAGCAAACAGAAGCAGGGCTATCACTGAGGGTCAGTATGGATCTCCTTGGGAATGATGGAACCTGTTGGAATGGCACTAAATTTTTCCTCCCTTTTTAGCCCCAGTGAAGGCCCCTGTTGTACACAGAATTGTGAATTCAAGAAAGAGCGGGAAAAGTGCCGGAATGATTCTGAGTGTGCAGAAGAAGGAAGGTGCAATGGTAACTCTTCTTTCTGCCCCACATCTGCACCGAAGCCAAACCTGACAGACTGCAATAGACATACACAAGTTTGCATCAATGGTGTAAGTCCTCTTTCAAGAAGTGTTGCAAAAAAGGCAAACTACAGTTCAGCTCCATCTTACGTGTTCCTGGCCCGTGTGGATCGTGTTTCTTTCTGTCTACCTGTTACAACTGTCTTTCTTAGGCCAGCCAATAAAAGCAGACCTTTTCTTTTCATTTGAAGTTTGATACTGAGATGTTTTGCACTGACTGTTTCTGAAACAGATGCCCCTGTTTGCCTGTTGTCAAGCAAAGAGGTGCTTAGACCTCAGGGTAAGGCTCCTCACCCAGAAAATGCTTTGGAGTACAAGGAAGCCTCAGATCTTTCCCACCTTTGTGTTCTCAGGTGTCTCTAACATTGGTGGTGCTGGGTTGGAATTGTGTTCTGGAGGAGTTGTATCTGGGGAAACGAATTCTTCTTTTCCTGGCTCTGCTTTCATGTAGCCAAACGTATTTCTCTGTTTACAGGAAGAAAAAAGGCAAACATTGTGGAAGGTCCTAAAGCTCAAAATTAGTCATGGCATTCATTTTACTATTTCATATGGTTTAACTCTGAGCTTGATTAGATAAAGCATATCTGAGTAAGAGTTGTCTGTTTCCTCCCCAGCAATGTGCCGGCTCTATCTGTGAGAAATATGGCTTAGAAGAATGTACCTGTGCTAGCTCTGACGCAAAGGATGATAAAGAATTATGCCATGTCTGTTGCATGAAGAAAAGTAAGTTTTCTTATGCTAAGGAACTTAAATTTGGATTATAGCATTCCACATATTTTAATTTATGTAGGGATGTGGTGGAGCAAATATTTCATTGCCCAAGCCTTTGTTGATAGGTGGGGCACAGTCCTGCTTTGTAAAAAAAACCTTCTGCCCTCCCTTTTAATTTCTGGCTGAAGATGACCATATGCCTGTGTAGCTGAAATATTTTCCAACTGTAGTCTCAGACCTGGAAAATATAGAGGCACTAGGATTTCAGAGAACCATTTCACAGTTTGGTTTAATTCCAGTTTGAAGATCATTTTTTGCTCAGCTTTAAAAAGGAAGTATCTACCCCAGAAGACTGGTGCCTCACTTGGTGCCAGCATGGCATGGGGGGAGACAGGCTTGGTGCATGAGGCATAATTGCTTAGGAGAGTTGAGAATTACAGATAAAGGCTACTATCTTTCTGCATAGTTTTTATTACTTTCCAGAGAGTTGTGCATGGCAATGTCCTGGCTTGTCTGTTCCATGCCAGTAATTTCTCTTTTCTGCTTTGAACAGCAAAATCCTGATATTGCTCTTCTGAAAGCCATGATGTTCAGATTTAAATCGTTTCTGTTTTGTCCAGTGCATCCGGAAACGTGTGCCAGTACAGGATCTGAAGCGTGGAAGGATTATTTCAGTTTCAAAACCATTACTCTCCAGCCTGGGTCACCCTGCAATGATTTCAAAGGTTATTGTGATGTATTCATGCGGTGTCGCTTGGTGGATGCAGATGGCCCCCTGGCCAGGCTGAAGAAGGCCATTTTCAATCCAGAGCTGTATGAAAACATTGCAGAATGGATTGTGGTGAGTTGAAACAACGAACTCTCTGAGTGAACTTTGCCATTCTCAAGTTCTTTGCAAAAACAAGAAAGTGGAAATATTTAAAATAAACCCTTTATTTATTTATGTTCTTAAGGTGAGATACAAAATTTAAAATACAAATTTAGTATTTCTATTCAAAAGATATTTGTGTAGGTGGAGGTGATCAATTAGAAATTAGTTGTTGATACAATTAAAAAATTGAGATTAAATGTGAATAAAACTTTTAATTAAAGGATCCTTCAGGATACTGCTACTGTGTTAATGTTTCAGCCAATACTGTTTGCCCCAGCTTTAAAAAATACTGTTGTTTGAAAGAGAGATGCATTTTATCTTTTCAGTATTTTGTTATAGTAAATCCAGCAAAAATTGAATTACTTTATGGTCTCTCTTTTCTTCTTTTCCCTCTTCCCAAAATCACTTTTTTCCCCAGATTAAACCATGATGATTTACATTATGAAAATTTGTATATTCAATCTTGCGGTGTATATTTTACAGACTATATTGTAAAAAGTGATCAGTTTTCTCAAGATAAAACCCGGACTATATGGTAACATTTTGTAGAAATCTGGCAAAAATGTGTAAGAAGAAAGCCCATTTCACCTTAGGTTTGTTTATTGCATGGAGGCAGGGCGTACACTGCAATGAGTGAAAAAGGAAAACGCCTGGAGCCCCAATTCTGCCATAAGGATTTGTGGAAGTTCCCCCTCTGAACACTGTGGCACGCACACAGACATGCACACCAATCACACTTTTCCCTTTCAGAGTAAGGAAGGTTCTGCAGACAGCAGATACAGTAAGTCATAGAAGGTATCAGTTTACACCAGCACCGTTCACTGTGTCTCTGACAGGTTGCCATTTTTACTTTGTGACATTCATTCCTTGCAACAATCTCCATACTGCCCACTACCTTTCTACCAGCATTTATATGTCTTAAAATTTCTCCATCCATGTTCCCACTTTAGTAAGCTTTTTTCTAAAGGTACACAAATTCATATACTTGCTCTAGCTTTTTGCCATTGAAATTGTTAATTTGAAATGGTTCGCTCCATTTTTTCTGTCTGCATACCTGCATTGGTCCTTGATACATTAATTTTCAGATCCATACTTCTCATTCCATCATACAGTATATCTAATATTTGCCACAAATCATTCAGGTTCTCAGCCAATGGCATAACACCATCCTCGTACAAAAACACATGTACCTTCATTTCCCCAAATATACATTACCACAAGTAGTCCTTATTCATTTATTCATAATCATCATGCTCCCTACTTAATGTTGAACCATTTGCTAAGCATTCCATTTATTCTAACACATGCTTTACTTCCTTCATATACCACTCTTATTTTATTATTATTTATTTATTATTTATATTTGTATGCCGCTCATCTCCCAGTGGGTAACTCTGGGCAGCTCACAATTAAAAATCAAAAACCTATAAACAATTAAAATACCCCATAAATAAATACTCAATCCATTAAAATCCACTAAAAACAAACCCCATACATAAATACTTATTGCATTCAGCAATCAACTTTCAATTTCATATTCACTCATATTCACTCAAAACATTATGTTCAGACTTGTTCACTTATTGTACTTTTTCTCTTGTACATTGTACATCAATGAATGTACAATAGACTTATTTCTTACATGCATGCATCTCTCAGACCTGCTTAAGAGCAATAATCTGGTCTGTGCATCCTGCACCAGGAACACAGATGCATTTTACTTCCCAAATGTTGCTCATTGTACCCTTTTGATCAAAATTCTGCCAAGCATATTCCCAGGCACACTTAACCAACCAACTCCCACCTAGTTTTTGCATTCACTTGCTACTTTCCCTTTTGCATAGGGAAACAATAATAGCATTCTTCCAGTTGTTGGGCACAGATGGAATTTTTGCATACATTAAGCAAGTCACACAGCCCCTCCATAAGCATTCCACAGCCATATTTTAACATTTCTCCAGTTGCATCAACACCTGCACTCTTCAACATGTCACTGACTCCCATAGAATCTCTAAAATATACCTCCCAGCAATCCTTCGCTTCAGTTTCATCCCAAATCATTTCATCCCTTTTGTTTTCAGTTCCATTCACTCTTCTGGAGGCCTCTTCTTCATCTGCTCCTAGAGCAATCTTTTATTTTCATCAGAATTGCTCAGCGTGTTCCTTGCTCCCTTTGACTGCATTCCTTGCGACCATCCCTTTCTCAATAGAGTCGTGCCTGACGCAGCATTCCTGCTAGCGGTAAAGATAATGCTGGGCGATTTAGGCACGTTTGGCCATCAGGCCTCAAGCCCAGTTTTGGCACCAGCATGCTGCTATGCAAGGTAGATATCTAATCAAGAGACTATGTTGCAAGCCAGCCAAGAGGTTCTTCAGCGTGCAGTTTTCAGGAAATTAAAAATAACCTTTCCAGTCCTAGATGTGAGTGGAGGTGAGAGATTGGTGTGCACACTTCAGATATTTGAAGATGGTGCGATGCAGTGGCTGGAGCATTGGGTCCAGCTCCTATTTACCCGCGGGTCATGCAAGGGAATTTTAAGGAGGCTGGCTTGTTTCACCTGGGGCTTCAGTAGGATACCTTGATGGTAGAACAGGATAACTATGAATTTTGCACCTGTAACTGAGCTTATTGCTGTAAAACGCTTTTTGAGCAAATGGATCTTCCAGGCTTCAGCTCCTGCCTCCGCCCTTTAAGCATGTTCTCAAAGGGACCAGTTCCCATCTCATTATTTTAGAAAAGCTCTTGGCCTCTGCCTTGCTTTGGTTGGTAGCTTACTCAGATCTGAAAGTCACTTTCCAGCCTTTCATGCCTGTGGAATTGTGATCGTGAAGTCTGGTGACCAGTCAGCCTCCATGTATTTGCTACCTATAATGAGACCTCATGGGATTCACAACTCTTCCTCAGCCGTTCACAGGGTTCCATGCAGTAAATAGCTTTGGGTAGAGCTGTTTTCAGAAAATTGGATTCTACATGCCATTTTATATTTCTGCCTTACATGCTGCTTTATTTGCTGCCCAAAGTCCAGGCACATCAACTTCTTAGCCCTGAGCATAGTATCTCCTCCCACACTGACAGAGGTGGGCAAATCTAATTTCTTGTGAAGTATGCAGCATCCTTTTCCGAAAGCAGGCCTGCGTGTGGAGCTTGGGTCTAAGTGTTTTGCCACGTAATCCTGTCCTCCACTGTGACGTGAACGCGGAGAGAAGGCTCTGCCTCCTTTCACCCACAAGGCCCCACTGGTCCCCTTGGGTGGGATATCCCAGGGCTGCCCACAGCTAGAGAAAGGCAGGGGTGGTTCGAACTGTAACAGTTAGGTGGAGTCTGCCCTCAGAAGAGCCTGTTGGAGTTGGAGTTCCTAGGATGTCTGCCTGTAGGATCACTTCCTGGAATAGAATGTAAATTAACCTCTCTCTCTTCAGCTGCATTTCTGCTATTCTTTTCTCATCTGTCCCTCCAAACTGATTACGGCAAGCTGCTGTGTGGGCACAGCCGGCATTGTTCTGTGCCAGTCTCTCTAGAACCCTGTAATGCAGCTTCCTTTAATTAGTTCTACAGACCGGGACATGATGGGGAATTTTTGCCAGGGAAGGGGGAGATAGTTCCATTGATATACAGGTGGCAGCTCTCGAGTTTGACTTACAGATTTAAATTGAGTTAAAAGCTTGAGAATGTATTATGAAAACTTGCAGAATAATTAGATTGCTGTTGGCATTCTGCGGCAGGCTTCTGTGTAGCGCTCTGTTTCCTCTCCAAAATAGATATAAGGGGTGAGATGAAGGCGGCAGAGGCTGTCTCCTTTCCGAGTGCAAGTAGACTTCCACAGGTGTCTTCATTCCTTCTGCTCCTGTCCTCCAGACTTCTCCTAGTTTATCAATTATTAGTGCTGTGGTGATATGCTGCCCTTTGATTGGAGGCGATGCTGGTAAAGGCCCCTTCTGCAGGGGACCGGGTGGCCGTTAAGGGAGCCTACTGTTAGGGGTGGCCTGCCCTTCCGAGTGCTGCAGGGTGGCATTTCTTCTCTGTGCATGGAGAGCTCCTCCGGCCTGGTCAAGCGGGAAAAACAGACCTTGTTTGCTGTGTCTCAAAACTCCAGGCGCACTGGTGGGCCGTCCTGCTCATGGGGATTGCGCTCATCATGTTGATGGCAGGATTCATCAAGATCTGCAGCGTTCACACCCCAAGCAGCAATCCAAAGCTGCCACCCCCCAAGCCCCTTCCAGGTGAGGCTTTTGCTAACCCTGCAAGAATGTCTGCTGCGGAGCGGTTGTGAGGTGAAAGGGGCTTCAGCAGAGGGAAGAAAAGCCTGTGGGAGGGCCTGGGATGCTCTGGCTGAACTCGGTCAGGTGGGGGGGGGTCGTCCCAGACTTGGAAGAGGAGCAGACCTGCCTGCCCCAAGCACTGCAGGAGGGCCTCAGCTTGGTCACGCCTGGGGCTGCTAGAGATGCACAGCGGGAGCGGAGCTGAGCACGCCAGGCAAGCGAGGATTGGGGGCCGCCAACAGAGATGCCAGGGAGCTTTTTCTGTAGGCGGCAGCGGGCTGCTTTTCCCCCAGGCCTGGATACACGTGCCCTGGGTTACCTGGAGCTCTTGTTCTTGCCCCTGTGCCCATGAAAGAATTCAGAGAACTTGCTCCTGTTTACGTGGCTCTGGCTGGGCCCGGTCTGCAGCGGTGCTGGGCGGTCCCCCTCGTTTCCCAGAAAACCGTCTTCCCGTAACTGTGGCTCAGGGCTGCACGCGCGCAGGGGGCCCCTGGCTGGGCGAAGAGGCTTCTGAAAGTGCTTCTCGCTTTGTTTTTCTGCAGGCACTCTGAAGCGAAGGAGACCGCCCCCGACGACTCAGGCCCCTCCGCGACAGAGGCCCCGGGAGAGCTACCAGATGGGCCACATGAGACGCTAAGAGCTGCTTTTTGCCTTGGTTCTTCCTAGTGCCTACAGTGGGAAAAATTCACTCCAAAGAAAACCTGTATTAAGTCGTTGTCCCTGGTCAATGAAGGAGGTTCTCAGAACCCGGAGAAGTTGGACGATCGCCTATCCCTGCCCCAAAGCGAAGTGGTTGGCCGTGAAGCAGATCTTTAGCAGTCTGAAGCAACGCGTTTCTCTCCTCCCTCAGCTCTTCGCTCTTGCCTTTTCTTCACTTGCAGGCAAACGTAGCTCTGATGGGACTTCTCTTCACACGAATTAAAGTATCTATTTTTCAGCTGTCAAGGCTAGGAAGTGAGACTGCCTCAGTGTTGGAGACGTGACTTGCCAATGTACATAAATGGTGATATGCAGACATTGTATTTCTAATGTACACCTGTACTTCTGTGTGCAATTGTAAAACGATATAATTGCAATATGGATGTTCCTTTATATTATAAACCTTTTAGGCTCTTAATGAAGAAATTACTGTTTAATTGACATACTCAGGATAACAGAAGGTTGATGGTGTACAACAGCCCGGGATTCTGTCATGCTTTACACAGGAATCATGAATCACATCAAATCCGTTCTTTATGCATCTCTGTTTTGGTCAGAATTCCTCCTTACGCGCTACCCGGATGCCGAGCCCAGGTTCTGCTCCTGCCCAGCTCCGCTGAGAGGACTCCAGATTGCTCCATGGGAGGCTGGTGTGGGAAAAGGCCTCGGGTCGGGCTGGGCTGCCCTCTGTGGTTAGGCCAGGGGCCTGGCCTCTTGGGAGGGCAGCAGGAGGCTTTAAACAGAAGGAAGAAACCTTTGCCTGTTCTGTTAAGTGATCGGCTGTTTCGTTTTGCTTTGTGTTTTCCCCATGATTTGGTAGTAAGATAAGTCTCTCATATTTTTCTCAGATTGCAGCTGGCTTTCTTTATTATGCTCTGATCACCTTGATAAGTGATAATGAGGAACCCAATTCCGACAAATTTGGGAGAGATTAAAACCTATGTTTTGTTTTTTGTTTTAACAAGTACTTGGTAATCTTTCAGCATGATACTGTTTTAAAGGATAACCACTTAAGCAGAAGCCACTACTGCAGGAGTTGCTGTGATTGTGTAATTATTGTAGGCTGGGGAATGTGAAAGGCACTAAAGAGGATCTCAAACAGCACAATGGCCCAAAGTTTTTATTACAAGTGTATATAATTGGCATTTTTTTAAAAAAAGAAAAAGCAATGTCATAATATGCTTAACTGCTATGCAGGAAATGGAAGAGGGCATTATTCAAGCTTGAATTCACTGCTTCTGTTTTTCCAAAAGCACCAAGCTGATTGGGAACCAAATGGCTGCAAAATATTTCTGGCTTTGCTTAGAAATCCAGTTGTATGGGGGGGGGGGGGG